ACTTTGAAGTATGTCACTTTGGGGGTTGGGGGGCTGGCTTCAGAAGCTCAAGCCAGGCCCAGTGGCTCATTATCTCTTCCTGCTGTCTTTGGATCCCAATGTAGAACTCTCAGATACCTCTCCAGCACCATGTCTGCTTGCATGCCACCATGCTTCTCGCCATGATGATACAGACTAAATCTCTGGACTGTAAACCAGTCCTGTTAAATGTTTTTGTTCATTTCACAGCAATAGAAACCTCTACATAAGACACATACATTTAAGTAATCCATTCTCAAGTTAGGGCTAGCATTGAGGACAAGAACACAGATTTCATCTTCCCAAGTCTGCTTCGGAAGTAAGGCTTGATAATCTGGGGTCTCAGAAACAGAATAATGAACTGAGCTTCCAAATTGTCGCTGAATAGTTCCCAATTTTTTTCTCAAATAAGAAACACATTCTCCATCGTGTATTTATATGTGGCTTAACTCTGAACACTATTAAGAATGCCAAATATGTTTCAGCTTTGGGAAAACAGCCAGTTATCTGAAAAAGCACTTTCCCTGGGTCCTATGAGTCAAGACCTGCTCTAATTAACAACTTCAAACTTTAAAATACTTCTGGACACCAGATTATTTTAAAGTTATTTTGAATTCTGAATAGAAGCTTATTTAAATTCTTAGTAAATTAGTCCCTTCAATTATTCTAAGACACAGTCCCCCGGGGTTTTTTAGATAGTATTCATCCTCCTCCTCCCTCACCCAAGTTCCTCAAAACTCTTGGGCAACTTTTTCGAAAGAGTTCAACTTCATGTCATTTCCAACTATATAAGCAGGCATCCTGCATTTAGAACTAGAAATTTACAAACATGCATCCTTATAGAGTCACAGCCAACCCTGTGGGCTTTGCTGCTGGACAGGATGACTGCATGCCAGAGGGAAGGAGTCAGAAAAAGAACTTGGAGAATGTTTGCGAAGTAAAATCAAAATGCTGAACCTGATTTGTCCCTTCCTGTGTTTGACACAGCAAACTGAGGCAGAAGTTGTTACCCACTTAAGGGATATAAAGCCTAGTCCACATCTACCTGATTACTGGACATGTGAGTTCAGTTGGATGGAAGCCATTGTTACCCAAAATGACCAAAACAATCACTGAAAGGGATGAGCACTCCCTTAAAGTGGATGGATAAATTATATTATAAACTCATATAATTGACATTTATGAACACTCAGTTTGTCCTTTTCTTTATGAAAGACAGAGTAATTAATCTCTACCAATCAGTGAACTTGAAAACTTCTTAAAATTTGTTTTCACCAAAGGACTGAATGCCATAAAACAAATACACTTGCTTGATTAGTTTCTGTAAGGACATATTTTTCTCAGATGTAGACAACCATCTAAGATACTAACCAAGAGATTTTTGTGTAAATTTATATAGTTTATAGAAAATTAACAACCTGCTAAGGACAAACAAAAATATACGGAGAATTCAGGCACAGTAAGAAGGTTTGGGAATCTGTGTATCTTGACTATAGATACTTTCTTCCAACAAGTCATACAAGTGAACAAAACGAAAACACACATTCGCAGAGTAAATCCCCTAACCACACTTCAGACTGACTGGTACTTATTCTTCAAACACAAGTGAAATATTCCCTCTGGTGGACGCTTCTCCGGATTACCTGTACTGCTTTCTCATGTCATGTCCAACTGCATTGGTCTCCCAAATTTTGGTAGCAAGAACTCTAACCGTATTCAGGAACAGGATAAAATTCAGCTGAAAGACAAAAGAAGGTAATATCACAAATAAATTAAACTACTCTTCAAGACATTGACAGAAATTTGAATAATTTGAACTTCTTAGTATTCAAACTAAAAATTGCCCACTCCATAAATTTGAATGCAGAATCTGAGATGAGACAGTAAAGGCTACTGATTCTTGATTTGGCTTCATAAAAAAGAAAAAAATATATACATTTTAATAGCATGAGAAACCAGACATATCAAAGACTAATCTAACAGGAGCTAATTTCTAAAGTTCAGATGAAGCCCCATGGCAGGTTGGCAGGACAAAAACAAGTTATTGTATAAATGGGACTAATGCCCGGCATCTGCCTCTGTGTTCATGAAAATATTTCTCTTCTACAATGTGTCATATCTACTGGGAGATGCACATTAAGGATACTTTTCAGGCAAGATGCTGCATAAGAAAATAGCCCTCCACAAGGACCAAATATATCTGGGCCCAGGGGTCTTTTCTGAGAATGATACTCCAACCAAGAACCATGCATGAATATAACCTACAACCCCTGCTCAGATGTAGCCCATGGCAGCTCAGTGTCCAAGTGGGTATCCTAGTAATGGGAACAGGGACTATGTCTCTGACATGAAATCAGTGGCTGGCTCTTTGACACACACCCCCCCTCCGAGGGAGGAGCAGCCTTGTGAAGCCACAGAAGAGGACATTGCAGCCAGTCCTGATGAGACCTGATAAGCTAGGGTCAATTGGAAGGGGAGGGGGACCTCCCCTATCAGTGGACTTAGAGAGGGACAGGGAAGAGATGAGGAAGGGAAGGTGGGATTGGGAGGGAATGATGGAGGGGGGCTACAGCTGGGATACAAAGCGAATAAAATGTAATTAATGTAAAAAAATTTTTAATTAAAAAAAGAAAAAAATAAGAAAACAGCCCTGCTGTAGAATGTCACATTGAATTGGAAAAGTCATAGGTGTGGGAACCACGGGAGAGGACCAAGTTCTGTCTTCAAACAAGCAAGATGGCAGAGAGTGCTGGAATGAGCCCTGAGTGTAAAAGAAAGGTGCTTCTAGACTAATTGTGCGTGGCTGCCATTTCTTGGATACTCCCTAAGTTTCACATAAATATGAGATATCTTTATTGTGTTCGATTATTAAGGACCCCAAATTTTCCAATTCAGAGAGATTTAACCTGGAGTACCCAGCTATTAGCTGGAATTTGAACTCATCTGCATGTTCCATGCTGTGTTTAATGATCTCACACACTCTCTCTCTTCAGATGGATTTTAAAAAATACAATACATGAGAAAGGTGAGGCTATCCATGGAAGCTGCTTTCTGAACAGGCATATTTATAACACATCCCAGAATTTTCTCCTGGCAATGCAATGTGTCTGGGGTGAAGAACTGGGGAAAGGCTGAGTCATGGCAACTCTCTAGAAGAGATTGAACGCTAGGAATTTTGCCGAGAAGTACTGTGGGCTCATGACCAGCTGTGTGATGTTATTTGTCACTCCCCATCCCTTATAATAGAAGTGCAACCTTAAGCTCTACCATATTAAAATATCCAGAACCAAGGTCTCTGTCCCCATGTCATACTTCAAAGATAAGTTGTGAACCCTCCTCCAAAATTGATTGGAAGTGATACATACAAGTTAACCCAATAGTTTAATAAGAGAGACGATATATTCAAGAATGGCCAGATTGGTTATTAAAAATTAAGAATTGAAAAACTAAGACTGAGCAGAACTTGTAAGCTTCAAAGAAAGTACGAACATGTATATGAACACGGTGAATCATGTAAGAATAGTTGCATGAAATTCCAGACAATTGCTCTAAATAATTTAGAAAAATCTAGAATATAGGGTAACTAGAAAGTGTTGTTGGCTATTTAATATCTAAATCATTTTACAAAGAAAGGCTCTTTAATTTTCATAATAATTCTAGAAGATATATCATCGTCATCATCATCACTCCAGAGATGCAGAACAGATGACATTCCATATGGTCACACAGCCAGTGAGTGGCAGAGTGCTAAGGGAGATGACCCAGTGGATCTACTGTATACTCTTGGCCAGTCTGTTGCTGCCCATAAAATAGAATTGACTCAATAAAAGGCCTAATTGGATCAAAGATGTTAATTTTAAATCTGAGATTCTACATTTAGATAAAAACATTTTAAAATGTCCCTCAAAACAACAGGGTCAGCAAGAACTTTCTGACTGGAACTTTAACAGCATAGGAACCATCCCCTAGCATCAGATGGTGGCCCTACAACAAAGGAAACCATCAGGATAGCAGGCAGGCCACAGATGGGAGACAACCTTTACCAACTCCGCCTCCGACACAAAGAACTGCCGAAATTAAGTACCAAGTAAACAAAACAGCCAACCAACAAACATACTAGAATAACTGTGTGGAGAAGATGTGGGGGAAGAGGAACCCTCATTCCCTGCTGATGGGAAGCATGGTGAAAATTAATACAGCCAGTAGAAAAAGGGGTTTGGGGGTTCCTCAAAATATTAAAAATGAAACTAACATATTCCCCAGCTATTCCACTCCCGTGCGTGGGTATCCCATACCTGACCCCAGAGACATTTGCATTCCCATGTTTATTGCTGCTTTATTCATTATTGAAAAGAAATTGAACCAGCCTAGATGCCCATCAACAGATAAACGGATGTTCAAAGTCTGGTTCATATGTAATCGAACATTATTCAACTCCGAAGAAAAATTAAATGACAAAATTTCAGAAAAAAAACATCGATGGATTGAGAATGAATAATGTTAAATGAGGTGAGCCAATCTGAATATTAAAAGAAGCATGTTTTTCCTCAAATCATATCTACTCAATAATGTATACATGTATATATGTAAACAAATATATGTGTAGGGATCATATAACATTTTAAAAGGAGAACAAGAGAAGGCAATGAAACCAAGCCAAAATGCATATGAGTGAGTTCACATATATAATATACTTTGTGTAAATCCTTTAGGTACACTCTCAAAGTGTAACACATTTTAAATGTGGATTAGGTCATTATTGGGCACTGTCCACATGTAATCCCATGAGGAACCAATACCTTCCTTGGAGACATAAATTTTAAATTACATTTTATGAGACTGTTTCTCCAACCAAGGACCATGTATGGATGGAACCTAGAACCCCTGCTCGGATGTAGCCCATGGCAGCTCAATATCCAAGTGGGTTCCCTAGGAAGGGGAACAGGGACTATTTCTGACATGAACTCAATGGCTATCTCTTTGATCTCCTCCAACCCTGAGGGAGGAGCAGGCTTGCTAGGTCACAGAGGAGGACATGGCAGCCAGTCCTGAAGATACCTAATAAGCTAGGGTCAGTTGGAAGGGGAGGAGAACCTCCCCTATCAGTGGACTTGGAAAGGGGTAGGGAGGAGATGAGGGTGGGATTAGGAGGGAATGAGGGAAGGGGCTATGGCTGGGATACAAAGTAAATAACCTGTGATTAATATTTAAAAATAAAAACTATATATATAAATATATACAAACAAAAAAGAAAAAACAAACAAAAAAACACAAATTTTAGATTCAAAACAATAATGTGAAGATTGTTGGAATTATGTTCAAAATAATCCCATTCTTAAAACTTGTGAGGGTTCCTTGAATCTATTGTCTTTGGATTTTCAAATAACATGTCTGGAATTTGAAAACCCTGAGAAGTCTGTTTGGTTCCTCCCTCCCCACTGCATGTTATAATTCTAAAAATGTATCATTTTTGCTGAATAAATGTACTTTGCTTTAAGTATACAGAAAGCATCAAATGGAGATGTAGACAGAAATTCCTTGAGAACAGGACAGTCTGCTAAATGATTGTAAAGGACCTAACGCATAACCAAGTTTTCAAATCAGTATTCGAAACAAAAAGGAGTAAGCCAACAGCAGGAGAATGGATTCAGCAATGGAGGCCACACTGGAAGAGCCCTTCCAGAGGGTGGCTCCAGTTGTGTGGGGCTTAGGTGCTTACATGGAGAACATGGAACTGAGAACTAGCAAGCAAATTATTCTTCTGAAAAAAAAAAAAAGTCTGTAAACAAAGATACAGAGAAAAATCCCCTATACGAAAGAGAGATACGTGCAGTTAGAACAGCTGTATTGTATGCCAGTGGAGGGGCATGAAAAACAAACGGCCAGCGGCATCTGACATTTCACTGTGGTACCTTACAGTAATGAACGATATTCTTACTGGTGCTGCTCTAAAGGGAGAATCATGTAGAGTCCCTCCATGCCTCAGGCAGTGTTCTTGGAGGAAATGTTTGCTTGAAGCTTCATTTCATGTAAGCATAGTTTGTTGGAGTTTTTTTCTTTGTTTGTTTTGGGTTTTTTTTTTTAATTTTGTTTTCTGTTTTTAAATAGAGAGGGTACGGAATCGAATGAGTATTAGTTAACATTTAAGTCAAAACTGTGGCAATGTGGGTATAGCTCGGTGGGTAGTGCTTGCTGTGGAAAGCGAGGGGTCCCCATTTGTCCACGTACAAGCTAGACAGGATTATATGTGCCTGTAACCCCAGCATTGGGAGAAAGCGACAGGCAGATCCTGAGAGTGTGCCAGCCACCCAGCCTAGCCAAGATAGCTTCATGTTCAGTAAGAGTAGTAATAATAATAGTAATAATTGAATAATAATAATAAGGAAATTAATAGAGGATGGTATCCAGCATCCTCTAACCTCTGCATAAGCACTCAAAGATGCACACAGCTGATTACAAACACATACACTATATGCAACACACACACACACACAAATACATTAAATTAAACCAGTAACTTAGAGAATGACCTGCGGCAGATGGGAGCCTGGTCCTGCCCCTCACTAGCTGTATCACTCAAGAGAGCATCACAGTAGAGCTGATCCTGCTGGTGTGGGAATGATAAGCTGGCCCCAAGAGCGTGAAAGCAGGAGCACCGGCTCTGTCCCTTGCCAGGTGCAGGGCTGGGTGAGCTAGCCAGGGCAGCGCAGGAGAGCCGGCGGTATGTCCAGCTCAGCT